TATATATATAATATTTTTGTTTGAGCACAAATCATAAATATAGTTTTTATTTAATATTAAGAGTGCATTTAAATATATATATATACAGTTTGTTTTGAATATAAACATATTAATGTTTTGTTTGTTTGGGGGGAAATTTTAGCAATTTTTTAAAAATCAATATAGCTATTTTCTTTCATATGTAATTTAGTATCTAAAATGTACTTTTTTGCTTTTAATTTTCAATTTAGCCTATAAATTGAAATTTTGTTTTTTTAAAATTTTCAATTTAGCCTATAAATTGAAATTTGTTTTTTTCATTTTTCAATTTAGCCTATAAATTGAAATTTGTTTTTCAATTTTCAATTTAGCCTATAAATTGAAATTTGGTGTCTTGAATTTTCAATTTAGCATCTAAATTGAAATATTGGTTCTCTGAATGTTGAATGTAATATTTAAATTCTAAAAATAATCTAACATATTCAAAAAATATGTTGATTAAAAATGTTAAACAAAGAAAATATTATATCAAAGCTTAGAAAATCTATATCCTTTGTGAACGTGAAAAACTTAAACATTAAAGCTTACAAAGGTTAAATAATCTATGAGTCTAAAAAGACTTGAACATTTGAGCACACAAAGACTATATAATCTTTGAGCCTCACAAGACTTGACCATTGGAGCCTACAAAGGCTATATAGTTTGGTAACATCAAAAAGCTTGAACATTGGAGCCTACAAAGGCTACACAAAGTGAAGAGCCTGTAAAGGCTGATACAGTGTAAAGTAAGACTCTTTTTTCCAGTCTCTCTTCTCCTTGGCTGTAGTCTCAAGTCATCCTACTTGGGCCATGGCAAATATCCAAGTATGTAAAAGGCAGTGATGCCAATGTGCTGGTACAATGAGATCAGAGGGTGTAGCTGTTCCTGTAGTGCAAACCACTGGGACATTCTTGAAAGTTCTTCTTGCATCCTTTGCCACTCACCAACTTGATGCAATGCAGTGAGAACAGCTAATTTGTTTTGGAAGCCGGTCTTCTTCTTCTCTGCCTGATTGTTGAACAAATGAAAACACTCAAAATGATATTGAACTTACAAAACCCAAAAATAAACACAATAACAAAAGTTATACAGATTTAAATATTCAATGTGAGTTGCATACCTAAAGGAATGCCATTGTCCTCTAATATCCTGCCAGTGAAAACCAGTCTGGTCCTTCACAAAACCATTTGGAGCTGAAGCAGTAGAGGTTGGCACAGCTTGTACTCCAACACCTCCCACACAGCCTTGCATCACTGGAGCCTGCTGTTGGAAGTAAGTTTGCTGCTGTGCATAGTTCACTGCCTGCTCATTCTGCACTGGTGTTGCCCAAGGAGGTAGGGTTGTAGGTTCAGGAACTCCTTGCTGCAAGACAGGTGATACAGGTGTCCAAACCGTGGGTGGCCTTGACAGCAAGCCAGCAGGAATTCCAGGTGGTACTCTGGCTTGCCATGGTGCCTGCAATCACATTGAAAACAACAATGAAATTATGATGGACTGCCCAACCAAAACAGCTGCCCAACTTAGTCTGTGATCAATTGAAGCCAAGTTGCTTGTCCAGCAGGAATTTGTGATTGCCCAGAGCCTGCAGCAGCACTTCCTGTAGCTGTAGATTGCATAGAGCCTTGTTGGTGGCTTGCCTTAGTGAGAAGTGGCTAAACCATCATGCAATCTACATTGAAAAACAGCTGCCCAACTAAAATGAGTTAAGCTACAAGTGCATTCTTCAGTCGATCCCACACTTCCTCTGGAGACAAAGTCCTGTAGTCCTCCTCATCCTCCTGCTTCACAGGTTGCTCAGCCATGACTCTTGGTTTTGGAAGAGGTCGAGGTCTCTTGTCGAGCTTTTGCTTCTTGGCACTAGTTGTAGGCGCTGGCTCTTCTTCAACTTCAACTAATACATGAGCTTCAGCTGGCCCAGTCCCAACAGGCTCTGCCAACTGTGCTACATCAGGAACTTCATCTGGAGGTTCCTGAAGTGAAGTGATATGACTTTAATTGTTCTATATCTAGAACATATACAATATCATATTATGAAAGTCACACATTTGTTAACAAAAAGTTGCCCAAAAACAGCGAGACACAGTGGGAGCCCTTTGGTCCTACAAGGTTGGGCATAAACCTCTAGGAGCTACAATAGTGACACCATATATCAGATATCAAAACAAAACCTTATTTCTGCAGTCCTCATACCAGTCTGCTTCATTTTGTTCATTCAATTCCATGGCCCACTCTTCATAGCTTGTGAAAGGCTTGTTCTCCCTTTGCCTCTTCATGGCAAACACAAATGCTTGCCAAGGCTAGCAGTACTTGAGCCTAAACAACATGGCTTGTTTTGAACCAATTACAAATTGTTTTACATTTACTAAAAACACAAAGAACTTTTTGAAAAAAGCTCAAAACAAGCTAACCACAAAAAAACTTCCAAAAACTGTTATATCTGAGCCTGCAAAGGCTAATGGGGATGAGCCTGCAAAGGCTGATAGAAATAAACCTGCAAAGTCTGATGAAAATAAACGCGCAAGGGCTACTGGTAATGAGCCTGCAAGGGGTACTGGTAATGAGCTTGCAAAGGCTGATAAAAAATAACCTATAAAGGTTAATGGGCATGGGCCTGTAAGGGCTACTAGTGATGAGCTTGCAAATGCTTTCATTGAAGAGAGCTTGGAAAAGCTTGTCCAAAACTGAGTCTGTAATGGTTTTTGGGCAAAAGCCTAGAATGGCTATTGTCTTAGAGCTTGAAAGGGCTCATGGGCTGAAGCTGGCCCTACCAAGGGCCAGTATTCAACAAACATCATTGCCCTTTTCACCTGGCAACTTCAACTTGTGTTTGAAGCCTACTTTGTCTTCTTTGTGTAGGCTCTCTTCTGTACATCTTTGAAGCAGCTTTCGCAATCAGCTTCCAAAAATTCAAAAACAGAAGTCAGCATGCTTGGGTCCAGCAAGACAGATACATCTTTCTCCTTGTAGGAGCTGGGCTTCAAGACTTCCACTTTGATGCCACCCACATCCAGCTGAAGAGTAGCAGGCCCATTGTCCAGCCTGGGCTTCTTCTTTGGCTGCTCATCCTTGAACAGTGCCTGCTCTTTTTCACCACCATCGTCCTGCTGGTTTGAAGATGCATTGGCCAAAGCTTCTTCCTGCTTCTTCCTGAGCAATGCAAAGCATTCACCTTTGCTGAGGCTTGGGTTCTTGCACTCTCTGTAGAGATCCAAATTGTGAGCAGCTAGCACTCTGCAAACAAATGGGTGGCTGGCTTGGAGTTTGAGAAACTTCTTGCCATCTGGGCCAGGAAGGATCAACACTTTTGGAACCACAGCTGCACACACATTCTTGTAAGACAGCACCACCCTCTCTGAGATGTCCACCATGAATGGCAAGACACTATAGAGGCACAGGCAGAGACTTGGGGCAAAAGACTTGCTGCAAGAAAAAAGCATAGAGTAGAACGGCAAAAAGCTTTGCAGAAAATTCAGCCACTCATGGCTTTTCAAAGAGCTTCAAAAAGCTATGAATACTAGAGCCTTTGAAAGCTTGCATATTCAACCTTCAAGCCAGCTTTTCCCAGCAGCAAGTCTTCAGGTCTCATGGTTTCTTCCTCTTCTTGGCTTCCTCTTGAAGCTCTACCCACAAAGGGGTCCCAATCTGCAAAGCCACCTTGTTCTTCAAGCAGGGGATGGTCAGGTCAAGGTTTTTGACAGTAGCCCTGACCAGGGTGGCCTTCTCAGTTGGCTGGGCAGCATCATCCTTGTCCTTCTCCTCTTTCATTTCTTTGCACCAGAAGAAAGGGCACCAATGGCCACTTTGCTTTTCAAAATTGCACTTGGAGTGTGACACCACCAAGGCATCATCAAATTTCCAACCAGCTAGCTGGAGCACCACAGAGCTTTTGGTGACTTTTTCTTTGGGCTGCAAAACTACATGGCCAAGTGGAATCAGCACCAAATCATTCTTGGAGAACTTGTTATTGGCAAAGAGCTGGTTGGTGTTTGAAACCACCAGATCAAAGTCACCCAGCCTGGGTGTGCAGGAAACACAGCAAACCTTAAAAGCAAAAACAAAAAACCTGTGTGCCCATAGGGCAACTTTCAATTTTGAAGCCAAAGAGCTCTTGGTATTTCTGGTACAGGAGATGCTGGGCCTTGGCCCTACCAAATTCAGCCATCATGCAAACACTGGGCTGTAAAGCATTCAAAGCTTCAGCTGGCCGCAAAGTAGGCATTGGCTTGGCCCACAACTTCAACCCCTTGAGGTCCTTGTGTTGTATCTCTTTTTTGTCAGGGGCTCCAAAGAATGGCTTGTGAAGGAGCACAGCTTTAGTGGCATCAATGCTTTCAAACTTGTAAACCTTCAAAGGTTCTGTGGCAAAGAAATAGTATTTGCCAACCTCAAGGTTCTTCAAGCTGGCCAGTGCAATTTTGGCTGGGTCTGCAGTAGCCTGGCAAAATGGTGGCATGCTTGCACCAGACCAAACCCAAGCATTTTGGACACCCCCTTGCCTCCAACCCACATGGCACTGATGCTTGCTGTGCAGAGGCACTGCTGGCTCTGTCACATCCATCTTACCATATTTCCCCATGCTCATCATTTCTGCAGTGAAAATGTTTGTGATTTCTTCCAGCTGTTTGTAGACCTTTGCCTCAGGGCCTTTGGCGCCCTTTCCAAGCAGAAACAAAGCAACCCTGGTCAAGTATCGACCCATAGGCTGGGCCTTTTGGTCCAAGGTCAAAGGGCTGCTTTGACACAATTGCCAAGCTTCCATCAATAGCTTTTCAGCAGCAGCCACTTGCACAGCCATTCCTTTCTGCTTCAATTTTGAAAAATCACTGGGGTTCACCAGCTTGGAAATGCCATCTCTGGCACACATCTGACATGTAGCCAGTGCCAAGCGGATCCAAGGATAGGTGGTCTCTTTGGATTTGAAATCAGTGAAAGCAAGTAATCCAGTGAACTCCTGGCCCCAAACTGTTGAACCACCATACTGCTTGCCT